TACAATAAGATCTCTTTAGTAACTACACTGAAAAAAGGGATGTCTGCAAAATTGTTGCAAACAAATTATGGGTAATTCTTTAACTATGGGAACTTTTATGTTTTTTGATCAAAAAAAAAAAAAAAACAGTTGAAGTCAGAGTTATTAGCCCCCTTTTGATTTTTTTTCTCTTTTATATTTTTCCCAAATGATGTTTAACAGAGCAAGAAAATCTTTACAGCATGTCTAATAATATTATTTTCTTCTGGAGAAAGTCCTATTTGTTTTATTTCGACTAGAATAAAAGCAGTTTTTAATTTTTTAAAAACTATTTTTGGGACAAAATTATTAGTCCACATATATATATATATATATATATATATATATATATATATATATATATATATATATATATATATATATATATATATATATATATATATATATATATATATATTTTTTTTTTTTTTTATTTATTTTTTTTTTTCAGTAGTCTACAACAGTGGTTCTCAAAGTGGTTATTATAACAATGAAGGGGGGTCGCCTGTTGATTTCCAAAAATCTACTTATTATTATCTACTTATTATTATTAGGCCATAAGAATTACCATATTTTATCCATAACCAACTGAAGAGGAAAAAAACAGTCGTTTATAGTTACTATAGTAGCTTATTTACGAGTTCTATTGGATTGCGTCCCCAGGGGTAAATACATTATATTAAAGACAGCAATAGCGTCAGATGCAGCAAATTGATTTTATAACACCAGGTTAAACTTTCTGGCCCATTTACAGCACTGACATACATTAAAAAAACTTAAACGAAGAATAGACTTGGGTCTATTGGTGTGTGTGTTCGCCATTGCATGCAAGTTTTCTGTATTTATAACCACCTCAGAGGATATTAGGGGTCGCGAGTCACTGGCATTGTTATTTTAGGGGTCGCGTGCTGAAAAGTTTGGGAACCCCTGGTCTACAAAACAAACCATCATTATAGACTAACTTGCCTAATTACCCTAACCAGCCTGTCACGGTTATGGATCTGTCTGCTCTTTTATGATGTGCCGGGTTGGTGAGACTGTTCATCTGTATCTGCGGTGCTTGTATCACTAGGGTGTGTGCGCTTGTCTCTGTGTTTGTGTGAGAGTCGCGTGTCTGTCAGTGTTATTGTTTTCATGTCATCAGCTGGGCGGTCACATGATCGCTGTCTCCGGTAGTCGCTGCTTAGCACAGCTCAGCTGATAATCATGCACCACAGGTGTAGCGCATTACTGTGCCTATAAATGTTCAGCGTTCCTGTCTCACCTTGTCAGTTCGTTGTTTGTTCACGGTCTTCTGTGTCTCTGTCAGGCTCTCCTCGCTGTGTTTGCTGGTGATGAGTGGATTGGGTGATATCCTTCCATCGGAGATGAATGTTAGATCCTCTCTGTTGATGTTTTTCATGAACATTTAATCGGCGCTGGCGATCCCTCTCAGTTTGTTCACTCCTTCATCTCAGATCCTTGTTCTCCAGCCACTCATCTGCTTACCTGCTTATTTGGGTTCCACGTCTCTTGTATGATTGGGACACAGCCTACACTGTTAACCCTTACTGTAGATTATGAAGTAAATAACTGTAAAATAGCCAGTGTTTAGCTGTAATGAAAAGAAACAGTATTTTACTGTAAAAGGAGCAGGATTTGTATGAAATTCTGTAGTGCAAAGAATAAATTACAGTAATTTACTCTATGTACCATTACAGATATTTACTGTGATAATAAATGGTAAATTACTGTTCAACCATTACTGCCCCATCTACTCTGATGCTTTATGTTGCTATTTTATATTTATTTTATCTCTGTGTTTTATTTGGTTCCTTTTATATTTTTAACATTGAGTATCAAGAGTCAACCAATGCCACAGAGCTTATTAAAAGGTAAGTGTAAGATATGGACGAAATGCATTTAAAGGAAAAAATATTCACACAGAGCAAAGAAATTGTCACAATAATTTTTTAACTTTGTTTACTTTTTCTATAATTATTCTAATTTAATTGCCTAGTTTGACCTATAGTTAAGATTTTAAATTGCACTTTCAACTGAATATTAGTATTTTGCTAAATAACTAGTAAAAATGTGTTATTTAAAAAAAAAAAATAAATAATATATATATATATATATATCTTAAACAACACGCACATACATTTTTGCAGGGACTCAATGAATTTGTCTGGAAAACTGGTAAGTAAAAGTGCCATTAACAGTATAAAGGCTTTCCTAAATAAATGTATAAATCATGATATTTGTTGTGTTTTTTATTATCACTACAGATTTGGAACGACATGAGAATCAGATTATTTATTTATTTATTTTTTTTTCTATGGATGAAGTTTATATTATAGTATATTTTTATTGTTTTAATTAAACGATATGTGCATAACTGTGATAAATGTAGGCAGTTGCTTTGAAAATATGCTATGTACCAGGGGTGTCAAACTCCTGGAAGGCCACAGCCTAGTAGAATTTAGTTCCAGCCCTGCTTCAAAACACTACCTTTAGATTTAGTTTGATCAGGTGTGTTTAATTAGTATAACTGCACTGTTACTCTGTAGATTGTGCAGTAAATACTGTAAAAAACAATGATTTAGGCATCACCACACACTCCCACAGGCTATCCGTCTTATTCTAAACACAAAGGTGTTAGAAAGAGTTTTCAGAAAATGCTGGCCCTTTAAGAGAGCCAGGTGTTTGATTTGTTTACTGCTGAGTGTGCTCTATTCTCTGTCTATCAATTCAGATGTTGAGTCTGATATGTTTTAGGCTTTAAATAAGAATCTAAAATGAGTAAGTAAAATGTGTTCAAATGTTTTTGAGGGTTTATAAAATAAGGCTGTGTTTTAAGTTATATTGTTGTTATCTTGAACTGTGTACTTGAAAGCTACACTGTTAGCTAGTTAGCCTCTCCTCATATAACTTCTTACATTACTTTTGTTTAAGTATATGTATTTATTGGATATTGCATACTGTCATAATGTACAGATGCTAACAGTTGTATGTATCTTTCTGGCAACTAAGCCAAAATTAAATTCCATCATCTCAGTAAGGTAACATGTGCACATCATCACAGGGAATCACAAAAACATGATACACATAGCCATCCACACACAAAAGCTCCCCTGTCCAGTCCCAGGTTGTGAGTTTGTTGCTAAGTGTTTTTCAGAGCTGTGTTTCCATCTATGAATTTATATTAGAAACAATAAAAAAGTTTGTTGTCATGAGATAATTATAACAATAAAAGATTGGATCCTTTGGTTTTTCGGTGTTGCCAACTTTATTTTTGTTTTCTATAATTATTTTAAACTTTTTGAGATTTGACAGAGCTTTTAATTATTTAAAACTTTAAAATTTAAAATAATTATTTTGTGTTTTTTGCTGTTCAGTTTTTTTTTTTTTTTTTTTTTTTTTGCATGGTCAGCATTGAGGAGAGAGTAACACATTTCACTGCAGCACTTTGTGTGTGTGTGTGTGTGTTTATTGGATATGTGATTGTGATAAATGTTAGCAGTTGCTTTAAAAGTATGCTATAAACCAGGGGTGCTTAATCCTGTTCCTGGAGATCTACCTTCCTGCAGATTTCAGTTGCTATCCATATCAAACACACCTAAACCAATTAATTAGGACCTGAACACCACGTTATAATTACAGGCAGGTGTGTTTGATATGGGTAGCAACTGAAATCTGCAGGAACGTAGATCTCCAGGAACAGGATTGAGCACCCCTGCTATATGGGGGTCAAACTCCAAGTTACTGGAGAACTGCAGAGCAGCAGAGTTTAGTTCCCACCCTGCTTAAACATTACCTGTAGATTTCTAACAAGCCTTAATTAGTTTTATCAGGTGTGTTTAATTAGAGTTACAGCTTAAAGTCCCGGTCACACTGCACCTTTCTCCCTATAGACTTCCATTTATACGCATGTGAATGCTGCAGACCTGGAATGCAAACTCATGCGACAAATTTTACAGTTTGCAGCATTGGAAAGTTCAAACTTGGAGAACTCTGAACTGCAAAATCACATCATGGGATTGCTTGAGACTAATCAAAGATCAAACCATGACCTCTCTGAACAAAAATTATGGACCAGTTGCTTGCTTTTTCAATCTCTAAATATTTTGTTTAATCCCACTCCTTTTCGCAGAGCCATATGACAGAATTTTGCATGCTTAAACGTTAGTTTTACTGCAGCCTTGCTGTGCAGACCTGTGGCTCTCAGTAATATGTAAGCTGATATTTATATCTGCTGATTTCTTAATTTTGTTATACATTTTCTGTTGTATATTTGTTTGCTGCCAAAACAATAAAATAAAGTTGTCAGAATTTACAACTTAATTAATTTAAAGAATTAATAACATGTAAGAATACTAATTAATTTTAGTAACACCTTGACATACTATTGTGTATGCAGTATAATGCTGTGAGTTGTAACACTACAGTACAGTAATTAACTGTACACAGTTTCCAGTTAGTTACCACTACTGCTCTATTACAGTAATTAACTGGCAACACTGTTGCCAGCTACTCACTGCAATGGTTTGGTTACAGTAAACAACTGGCAACACTGTTGCCAGCCACTCACTGTAATGGTTCAGTTTCAGTAATTAACTGGCAACACTGTTGCCAGTTACCTACTGTAACCAAACTTTTACAGTGAGTAGCTGGCAACAGTGTTGCCAGTGTTCTACTGTAAAAAAGCCTGGTAAGGTCTAACAGTGTAGTTAACCTAATTAACCTAGTGAAGCCTTTAAATGTCACTTTAAGCTGTATAGAAGTGTCTTGAAAAATATCAAGTAAAATATTATTGACTGTCATCATGGCAAAGATAAAATAAATCAGTAATTAGAGATGAGTTATTAAAACTATTATGTTCAGAAATGTGTTGAAACAATCTTCTTTCCATTAAACAGAAATTATTGGAAAAAATAAATAGGGGCGTTAATAATTCAGGGGGGCTAATAATTCTGCCTTTAACTGTATATGTGTGTGTGTAGGTTTGTCCCGGAGCCGTGGTCATCCTGCAGTGTGTCTTGTGGTCTGGGCATCCAGCGGCGTCAGGTGAAGTGTAAAGTGCTGCTGTCCTTCACTCAAGCTGAGGTCGAACTGCCTGATGAAGAGTGCCATGAAGAAAAGCCTTCCTCTCAAAGGAGCTGTGATTCAGGGCCCTGTTTGGCAGCTCCAGACTCCTCGCGGTGGCCCCTGAGGACCCCTGAGGGCCCCAATCAGCATGGTTATGCTTGGGAGTACATTGGCTTCACTGCTTGCTCTGCATCATGTGCTGTCGGTGAGTCTCCACTGAGGTACACATGAAATCAAAACGGTAACACTTTACAATAAGGTTCATTAGATAATGCATTTACTAACATGAACTAATCATGAACAACACATGTGCAGCATTTATTAATCATAACTGAACATTTACTAACGCATTATTAACATCCAAGTCCATGCTTTTTAACATTAGTTAATGCACCATGGGTTAACATGAACTAACAATGAACTACTGTATTTTCATTAACTAACGTTAACTAACATGAACAAAAACAGTAGTAAATGTGTTGTTCATTGTTTGTTCATGTTAGTAAATGCATTAATTAACAATAACTAATGAACCTTATTGTAAAGTGTGACCATCAAAACTAACCATAATGATTGTGTTAGCTCATATTGCTAGATTTGTGGTGAACAATTCATCTGTGCATGTCATTTAGAAAGAAGTGTGCCCTTGTAATCTTTAATCGGAATCTGGAAAAGGCACTTCCTGTTTGTTTTCAGTTAAATTCTCCCATGATGTGTCTGAGGTATTGGGCGTGGCTAACATACTTAACCACGCCCCTTAATCAGTTTGACAACAAACAGAAATGGTGGGGAGGTGGAGGAGTCTGTTAGGTTGTAACAACTCTCCAGAAACACTCTTCCTGATCTTTCTGAATGCAATACCTACTTGACCATATCCAATCAGCTCTCAGTAAAAAAACAAGCCACGCCCACTGTTTTCTCATTTTAATATTTTGTTTCTCTACACTCTCATAAATAAAGGTATGCAAGCTGTCACTGGGGTGGTACCTTTTCAAAAAGTACCTATTTGTACTTAAAGGGTTCATATTGGTACCTCAAAAGTATATATTAGTACCTAAAAAATTGAAGAGGTACACTTTTGTACTTTTTAGGTACTAATATGTACCCTTGAACCAGTGACAGCTCGCCTTTATTTCTGAGAGTGTAGGAACTGTGTCACAATACGCAAAAAAAAAAAAAAAAAAAAAACATTGCAGCTTCCGGTTCATGCTGATTTAAACATCTACAGGTTTTTGGTTACCAAAATGTTGTCTAAAGTATTTTCTTGCAAATGTGAAAAAAAATATATATATATATATAGGAATACAAAAAAACATTACATGTGACTTCAGTGGAACTGAAATCATAAAAAAGTTCTAAGAACACTTTGTGCAGCATAAAAACAGTAAAAACAAAAAACGGCTGCGAGTTAACTACGGTCAATATGATGATTGCATGTTGCAATAATCAATGCTCATAAGTTCACCCCTCACAAATCTATCTGTTAAATTCATATATCTATTAGTCAGTACTGAAGAAAGAGCTTATCTAACAAAATACCTTACAATAACTTAATTATTAAATACAAATTTAAACAAGAGGAAAAATCAAGAGAAGCAAAAAATAAAAAATAAAAAAAGTTTGTTGAAATTTAGTATGTTGTAATTTTTTTTTTTTTTTGCAAAAAAACTTTTGACTGCGTTTTTCTTTTTATGCTGTAATGCACGCATTAAACTTCACACGCATATGTGTAAGGTGACTAAAGTTGAAATTCAAACACAAAAGATACTGGACCATCAAATTTTTAAAAGTAATTATTTTAAATACAATTATAATTTGAAGGAGAACATTGACATTTTAAAAAACTGAACTGTAACAAAATTATTTAAAATAAACTTGAGAGGAGTTAATTTACGTCTTGCGGTAAAAATATTTTTATTATAATTTTATAATATGAAGTAGCATTTAACTTAAGTGCCTTTTAGACCATGCATTTTTCCTTGTTTCAGTAATGTCTTTAAATAAATTATTATTTAGGCCTATTTAAATATGCATTAACTATTTATGAACAATAATTAAGACATAAAATGAGAAAGTATAATATAGTCAACAAAGAAAATGTAAGTGAAAGCTGTAAATAATGTCGTAGTGCTATTAATTTACATTAACAAACTCTGTACATCTCTTTATAATTAGGGTAAAACCCTGCTTTATTAATTAATTAATTAATCAATTAATCAATTTATTTATTTATTTATTTATTTATTTATTTATTTATTTATTTAACTATTTAACTATTTATTTATTTATTTATTTATTTAACTATTTATTTATTAATGTATCTATGTATTTATTTATTTAACTATTTATTTATTTATCTATTTATTTAACTATTAATTAATTAATTAATTAATTAATTAATGTACGTATTTGTTTCATTTTAGTTGTCTTTTATTTCTTTAATTTACTTTAATTTACTGATAATGAAGCTTGCTAACAAGTTTATGATGATTATTGGAGGAATTTTAATGCTTTGTTTCATTATTTCATTATCATTTAAAAGTTGCAGGGTATTTACAGCTACTGTATATTTCTGTCCGTTCGTATTCTGTTCTATTGTGCCCCTATAGGGGTACAGTCGCAAACTGCTGTTACACCTAAAAACACGTTCTTAATCCCTTAGTGCCGCAGTGACGCCACACAGGGCGGTAATAGTCATTTTAAAGTGTCAAGTTTGCAGCAGTGTAAAACAAATAAACATATATTAGCAGCCTTTAACATAATTATTAATAACAATTAACATAGCCAAATGTTGTATTTAACACCAGTCTATAAATGTTGGCTCTCTCCTGCTTATTTTGTACAATAAATCATTGCCATTGTATACAGTTGCTGTCTGTTTTGTTGCTACTTATCAATTTAATGCGTTCTTGCAGAATAAAAGTACTAACGGCTGAAATAAATTGCTGATTGGATCACTCCCATAAGTAATCCTAAATGATTTTAGCTTTCAAATATGAGCGGAATATTGAAAGCAAGCTCTCTAATCTGTTTAGCTTTTAAAATAATTTCTAACAGCTAAATGGCTGATTTTGATTTTTACATCTCCAGCTTTCCGGGTGAAATGCAATTGGCATGAAATCTGAAATTGCTCAGAGAGCTGATAATGATCAGCCTGGGCTATGTAATATTTAAAATGTCCTCTGCCAAAAGTCTTGCCTGCTCACGGTGTTGTTTTGCAGGCAAACAGATGGCTGTTGTCAGGTGTGTGAACACCTTGAAGAAGGAGATTGTTGATGACTTGCTCTGCAATGGATCCAAAGCTCCAGTTTCCCTGCTGCGCATCTGTAACCCTCAACCGTGCCCTTCAAGGTAACGTCCAAGTAGAAATCTCCATCTGTGTATGTTTCAGATGATATTGTTTCAAAAGCTATTATCCCTCATCATATACTGAAACAAATGACTTTAATTTCTACTTGTAAAAATGTATAACCTGGTTAACAGTACATTTCAATAATATATATGGTTGATAACCGTAAATTGACTTTTCCAGAATTCTTCAACTTAATTCTCAACTTAACCTTTTTATAGCTTTTTGCTGACATTACATGGTTCTGTGTAAAAAAAAAAGTATTATCTGTAGATATTCATACTTATTATACAAAATGTGGGGTATAATACTATAAATTAATGAAATACGGTGATTTATCGTAAAATTTAGAAAATGATTTTTCAGTTTCTATTTTTGTTTCAATTTTACAACTTTTTTTCTTAAAGGGCACCTATGATGAAAATCATCTTTTGTAAACCGTTTGGACAGAACTGTGTGTAGGTATATTGTGTCCACAGTCATATTGGAGTGATATAAACACAATAAGTGTCTTTTAATTTCCTGACATTAAAATTGGATCCAAATCCCTCTCATTTTAAAGGTTCAGGACACCCTGGAGAACTTTTTTTATATTAACAGATGTGTGTGTGTTGAGCATCAGTTAAGACCATGTTAGCATCTGTCAGCTTTAATTGTGGGGAAAACTGGATAATTTTGAGCTTTTGTCAGCTAATTTCAGCTTGATGAAAATGATTTTTGGGGCGGGATCAAAATCGGCGATGTAGCGCAGAACTGCAAGTGCAATGATGACGCGTCGGTTTCTAATTATTATTCATAGCGGAGTTTTCTTATCCTATGAGAAGAGCCGGCTGCTTAATTATTCATGAGACCTGCCAGACCTGCCAGAGTCAAGCCTGAGCTGTGAGACACGTCACGGACCCACGGCACATAGTATTTAGGAGTTCATGAAGGCTCATATGCCTTTTTTTTCCATGATCCACGCGGTTGTTGCATGTTTTCCCCCGGGATCTTGTCAGGGCCGATCATACAGCAAAGCTGTGTGTGTGCTACTAGCATTTTTGTTGGGAGAGCAGTACGAGAATTAGAGAATGGCGGACGCTGTCTTTTATCAGGAGTTCGTTCACATTCAGACACATCACTGTGCTGCTGTGTTTGCCTAAATCCTCCAGATTACCAGCAGGGCTAATGGTTAAAATAGACAGGTCAGGAGACCTGCTGGACTGAGTCTGCTGGATACGGGGATTGAGGGAGAAGTCCTCATTTATAGGGTTTACATGAACACATTTATCTTTATAATGATATAAATTGTGGTTATGTGTATATGAAATTACGAATAACAAATGTAGCAGGGTATTCAATTACTGTTCAGTTCTTTGCATTTTAACTTTGTAAACTATAAACTCATGCGTCTCCTCACGGTTTGTCTTATTTTGTGAGCTAGGTTCGTTCGCTCATGTTATCCCCTGCTGGCCACGCCCACTCCTGCCCGATGCTCGCGGAGCTCCACGCCCATTAATCATGCATCTTTGAAAAAACTCTGAAGTAGACTTTAACCGAAAGTGGGGGGTGTCATGGCCCTTTAAGGCCGAAAACAATGTGATGTAGGAGTGTGGTTTCCCCGCCCACCCAATTGATTGGCAGCTGCATATTAACATATCTCTGTTGTAACACGTGTTACATTCCATTGTGTTTTGAATGTATTATTGTGTTTTGGTTTCTCTCTCTCTCTCCCTCCCTCTCCGTTCCTGCAACTTGTTTCTCAGCTAGGTGTGGAGGAGAGGAAGTTGATTGCTTGCACCTGCTACTCGTTGCCCGGCAAGCTTAAAAGCCTGCCAGTTGCAAGCCACATTGAAGCTTGCTTCCAGAGTGTGGTCTCTCTCCTGCCTGGTTGAGCTATTGTGAGAAACTATTGGTGCTGTTGTGTTTAACTTGTTGAAGTTAAAATCTGTTGTTAAAGCCTCTGAAGCCATTTGAGCTTTGTTTATGAAAACTAACTTTGTGTTTGGAAGCCGTAGGGAGGTGGGTGCCATTTTATTTCTGAAACCCTTTTTTCTCTTGTTTATGTTTAGTTAGGGAGTTAGTGTACATTTCTGTTGTTGATTTAATTTTACTTTGTCAGTTTAGACAGTTTTACTCCCTAACTAGCTAGAGTGTACTTTTGTTTGTTGTTTTGGCCTTTCCCCCTCCTGAAGTCTATTTTTGCTTCCCAGTTTTGTTTTCCTATTGTACATTTGTTAATAAATTATTTAACTTGAATTTGGTGTGTTGTCGTGAAGGCAGGGGACTGACCCACACTCACCCCAACCAACATTTTTAAAACTTTTCACTGTTACTCCCACTCCTAGACACTTACCATCAGGGACGTAACAGTGAAAATTGGGGGCTCATCCGGGATTTGAACAAAGTTAAACGTTACCTTTTCAAATTTGACTTTGAGAATTTTGTATTCTACAATTTGAATTTTGGGGAAGTTTTGTAACTTATTAGTGATTTTTCTTAGTCTAATTGTAGTTGTGGCTGTTTTCTTTTTTTGGAAAGGGGCAGATAGGTTGTACTTTGTAAAATGGAGTTTGATTTGATTGAGTTTAGTCTTGCTCCCACTGTAGAAGTTTTCAATCGTTGTCGTAAGAAGGATTTGCTGTTAATTGCTGAGTTCTTTAAAATCTCTGTGTCTAGGGATGTTACTAAAGCAGTTTTAAAAGATGAGCTATATACTGAGTTGGTTAATTCTGGTATCCTACCAGTTGAGTCAAAAACTGATGGGCTAGAGGAGCAGGAATTAGTTGAAATAGCTGAAACTAATGTTGACGCTGTTCCTATTGGTAATGAGCCAATTATGGATCCTTTATTGGAGATAAAGCTAAAGGAGCTTGAGTTATATCCTAAAACACATGCTGTGCCCCATATGGTCTATAACCTGACAGGTGGGCAAATCTAAGCTTGTTTTAATAAAACAAATATAAATATGGATATAATAAATAATACTGCTAATAATAATAACATTATACAAAAGCAAATTGTTATGAATGAACTGAAAAAGCCTCCCGAGATGAAGAAGACATAAAAGCTGTGATTTTTCATATTTATGTAGGCTAGAAAATAATATGTTTTGTAATATTTTAATCCCTTGTATTTATATCCTATATCTATTCTTATTATATCCTATATATAATCTTAATATTTAAATTTTCATATGTAAAGATATTTGCCTATTGCTCTCTTGTGCGTATTAAGCAGTGTGTAAGCGAGGCGCAACTCTGCGCCAGAGTTTAGACCGGGTTAGTTTTGGTCTAATGAAAAATCTATTATAGTTTCTCAAAATAGCAACGCGCCAGCAGTGCGCCTCAGAACGCCTTCCTTTTTAGACCAGAACGCCTATGGAGGTACAAATGAGAGCTAATGCATTTGCTATTTAAACAGCGTAGCGCAACACCTCAAACGACTCTTGCGCCAAGCTGAAACTACCAAAAGACTACTGCGCCGAGCCTTGCGCCACACTGCGCCGGGTGTATGATAGGGCCCTTAATGACACAATGACTTAAGTCAAATTTAATGACACATTTGAGGGCTCATGCTGAAAGGCAGATGAATGCGCTTTCTGACAGCTCACGACATCATGTCACTTTCTGAGTACATTTACATAGGACACCAATACTCCGATTTTAATATGATTAAGATAATACTCTTAATAGGAGTATCACCATGTACCACCATGTACCATGTAAGCAGCGATTTTTGTCTACCATAAAGGACCACCGAGTCACGAAATGCAGAGGTTTTTCTTTCCGTTCGCCTTGCGGTATTTTGAGGGGATAGTGGTAAAATAAGATAAATAAGACAGTCTGTATTTTTCCCTATGCTTTATTGTATACTACTATGTATGGTCGCGTTAAGCACCAATAAAAAAAAAAAAATAATAAATAAAGGGACTAAGCCGATAAGGAAATGGATGAATGAATGAATAAATGAAAGAATGAACAATAAAAACTGAAAGTCCATTTAAATTTAATTAAATAACATTAGTTAAGGATAGTTCACTTAAAAATGAAATTTTCATCATTTTTTTCTTACTCTTTCTTTATTTATTACCTATTATTTACTTCTTACTTAAACTGCTTCTACTTCAACCAATCTAAAAGAACCAAGACTTTTTCTGAGATTTTTTTTTTTTATAGGAAATATCATGAAAACGTTCTTGATTTGTTAAACATCATTTGGGCGAAAAAGTAATAAAAATTTCACACGAGTGCTAATGCTGTGTTCACACCAGACGTAATACGCGTGGATAAATTACGCTATTTAACATTTTCAGTTTACTCACTTCATTCACGTCATGGGTGGGGCTTTTGTTGGCTCGGTGACTCTAGCTTTGTTGCTAAATGGCTAACATGGATTTTTTTGGGAGAATAGTTGTGTTTTTGTGCTTGCGTCGATTCGTTTGGAGCCGTGTCTGAGTCCACTAGATCCTTTCAGAGGTGCACCCAGCTCTGTGATTTCATAAACTCCAGAAACTATACCTGGATGATGGAAGCTTTCAGCGGTGCTTCAGACTGAGCCGAGCCCAGTTTGATCAATTGTTGTCCAGTGTTGCCAGGAGGATTTCCCCTCTGGACAACAACAACAGGCACTACGTCATAAGCACGCCCCTAAAAGAGAAAGCTCCTGATTGGTTAACGCGGCGCGAATGTCCACTGAAGTTTAGATTGTCCAACTCGAGCGATTCACGCGTTCAATGCTCAACTCGCGCCACTTTATTCGCGTGAATCACGTCATTTGCGCCGCCTCATTCGCGCGTATTACACCGCAGGATGTCTATTTGCGTCTTTGCATTGACTTAGACTGAATATTATGTAATATTCTGTTACTGTTACAATCTTAAGCCACACAGTGACTCAGTGGTTAGAACTGTTGCCGCACAGCAAGGTCGCTGATTCGAGTCCCGGCTGGGCCAGTTGGTATTTCTGTGTGGAGTTTGCATGTTCTCCCCACAGTGGTGGATTTAGGCATGGGCAATATTGGC